GTTGTTGTAGGAAGTTTGCAATGCCAAACAAAAAACTTTAAAGGTCTTCACTCTGGAAATAAGACAGTGAAGTTCACAGTGAAGCTTTAAAGTAAAGCTAGTCTAAGAATGTGTTAGTAGTATGAATTCTGTGTGTGTCAGTCTACAAAAATAACAAAAGTACTGAGTGGTGTTCCCTGAGGAGACTAAGCTTACTAGTGAAACTAAAAATGGTGTTAGATGAAACAAATAAGAACCAAAAAATGGGATTCCTCTGAAATGCAATTCCCAAATTTCATTTCAGTTCATTTAAAGCTAATTTAATAAGAGAAACGTGTGAGCAGATCAAAGTAATGCCAGAGAAAAAGTCATTAGGTGATTAGATGACATTGTCTTGAATCCACAAAGGTCTGTAAATCCATCCATCAACAAAATCCATCTAGAATTTCAGGGATATTTCAATGTGGACAAAAGTATTGCATTAAAGTATACTAGTTTCCTGGCAGCTGATTGTGTTTTAGTTTTAAAAAAAATTCTTTACATTACAATTCCCTATTTCTTTTTCAGCACCAAAAAAGTCAGATAAGATTTCCAGGTTTTACTGAGAATGATCCAGTAGAAGAGTGAAGGATGGTATGGAAGTGGATCATTTCAACTGAGGGGGGTTGGGGGCAATCAGAGAAAGCTGTGCAGGGGATGCAGGCAAGCAGGCAGACGACAGAAGAGTTGTACTGAGGTTGATCTAACCACAAGAGACTCAAAATAGCTAAGATTGTTTTAAAAATGAAAAAACTTTAACCACACTTAAATTATGAACCGAATTTCAAATAAAATGTTGTGAAACTGTGTAAAATACGAATTAAATAAATGGAATAAATTGCAAATCTCATTTGAATTACAATGAAACATAGAAAACATATCAAATCTTATCCAATCAGAGATCTGAAAGTTTATTTAAGTAAAGCAAAAAGTAAAAAAATAAAAATAAAAAAAACACACTAGCATCCCCACAACAACAGTGTATGTGGACTTTTGCTGCAATTCCCAGCTCCACAGCAGGAAACAGAGTCAGCCAAGGAAGCATTAAAAAAACAGACACAAGTGGCTGAGCTGGACAGTGAGTTATGACAATGTTGGCTCAAGGAAGGTGGGAAAGGCTGGTTACGGTCAATCACAGAAGTACGGCCCCAGAATTTGGTTGGCATGTGGTCTTAGCATGTTTAGAAAATCTGTCAACAATGGCGAGTATGATTGATTAGTGTCACAGGGGGGCAAACCCCTGACAGAACAATGAGCACTATGTGACCACGGTAGATCAAGGTTGGGAAAAGGCGTAACAGGCATGCAGGATTAATATAACAACTTTTGCACAAAATCAATAAGGAATGTTTGCTTTCACTTACCTGCCTCTATTCCATTTCATTGCTTTTACCTTCCCACATTGTTTAATTCATCACTCTGGTCGACTAGTTTTCTTGCCTATCATCTGAGAGTCAATCGGTCTCTGTTCTCTGTGCTGTTCTGTCACTTTGGATTTTAGTGTCTCATTCCTGTGAACCACCTCCCAACCTGGTTGCTTAGAGTTTTCTACCCGTTTCATCACCACCCCATGTTTTACTTCCTACTTCTGTCGGGATTCTCTATGCTGCTTCATCAGTGTCTAGTTGCCAAATAATTTATTGTAATAAACTTAGTTCAGTTCTTTTAAACAATCTCTTCTTACTGTGTTTATGTTTTTCTGTGGCATTATTGGATGGTGGAGATTATAAAAGGCAGAGTTAAACTATGCTGTGAAGTTTGTGAAGCTCTGCCCTTACTTTAAACACCCAGGGACAGTAGATGGGCAAGAAAGGAACTCTGTAAAAGCGAAAGCACAGATTGCAAACAGACAGCTCTGTCAGTGGTCTTTGAAAGTCTTTGATTCCTAGAGACCAGTCATCCTGATAACCCTTACATACTTTCTGCATTTTCGAACTTTGTGTTCAAGGTTGTAAAAAAGATTGTTATTAAAGATAAACGTGTACTTCTAGGAAATGTGTGTAAAGCATGAGGTATTTTTCACCATCACAACAAAACAAGACAAATGTAATATTTGTATGCATTGAACACTTGAACCAAGACCCTGATCTCAAGGCTGTTTCTTTACAAATTAAAGAAGGAGCTCAGGTAAGGCATTTTTATATCTGCCAGTCATAGCCACCTATGTGATTGTTATGTAAAACAAATACATGCTTGTAGCTGTAATATTTGTAGCACTGGGTTAGCATAAACCCCAGAAAGCTTACTAACATCTAAAAAATTTATAATACACTGCTCGTCCTTTCAAACAAGCCCTGTTTCTTACTCACACATACTAAAACACAGGGTTTTTTTTGTTGTGCTGAAAGTAGAGAAGCACCTGCCGTGTATTTTTAGTTTAGTCTTTCTAAGCTCAGCTTGCCACATGTACCCAACACTTTCATTTCAGCCTTCACCGTTACTCCACCGTGCATGGATGTGTTTTTTTTAAATCAGACTATTTATTGGTGCTTGCATCTCTGCTTTTCTATGAATAAAACAAAATCATTACCATCTGGGGATTTAAATTATGCCGGTCTTATATTTTGTCAGTTTTATCTTGTAAACAGCACGACTACATGGATGACTAGTGTGAAAGCAGTTTTTTTTTCCCTAACACCACCAGCATTGACATTTCCAAATGTTGCATTTTTGATTAGCATCATTATTGTTAGCTTGCTAGTTGTCCAGTATTTTTTTAATAAAAATAAATGACATTGTCATCAGTGCATATAATTAGCATAATTGGCATGCTGAAAAAAATAATAACAATCTAAGATGATGATGATCATTAGTACCACCGGATTCAAGTACTATTTTACATCATATACCATAGGCCTCTAAATGTACCGTCCAAATTTATGTTCACCAACTGGCCTAACCCCACGAATGTATAAGATATTTCTAATATTTCATGTTGTGCAGACCACTATAGCACAGCTCAAAGTGAAAACAAGAATAAAAACTCATATTCTTCCTTACACTGAGACTTGAAAATTGCCAAGTAGTGGTTGACGTGTCTGTTAGGTATGGCAGTTTTGAACCCAACTTCTTCTTCTTTCAGCTGTTCCCACAGCAGATAATCTGCCTCCATCTCACCCTTCTGTCGCACCAGCCCTCAGCATGTCCTTCACAACATCCATTAATCTTCTCTGTGGCCTTCCTTTCTCTCTCCAGCCTGTCAGTTTCATATTCAACATCCTTTGAACACCAAACCCATTTATCCTGCTCTGCACATGTCCAAATCATCTCAATTTTGCCTCTGTCCTTTCTGGTCACAAAAAAACTAAAAATGAGATATTAGTTTTGCTACCCCCAGCTTTGCCTCCTGTCTTTCTATTAGTGCCACCATACATCAGGTCTCATTATTATCTTGTAAACCTTCCCTTTCACTCTTGCTGCTATATGTCTGTCACAAATCGCCCCTGACAGTCATCTCCATCCACTCCACCCTGCCTTCACTCTCTTCTTTACTACTCTTGTACACTTGGATGGTTAACCACAGGTATTTAAACTCATCCACCTCCTTGCTACCTGGTTGTATCTTCACCTTCACAAACATATTTTGTTTTGCTTCTACTGGCTTCATTCCCTTTCTCAACAGAGCATGCAGTACCTCCAACTCTCCTTTCTCTTCTTTCACCTCCTGCCTACACTCAGTACTGCTCACAATGCTTTCTGCAAGCATCATAGTCCATGGACACTCGTGCCCTTGATGTTCGCAGACAGTATTGTGGTCTGTGAGCTAGATTGCTGTTTTATGTCCAAAAGGTTGTCTTGCTGAAATAAGCCTGACCTTTCATGAAAAGATGTTAGCTAGATAGCAGCACATATTGCTCCCCCATCCATATTTATTTTTCGCTATTAATGGGACATTCTGGGATGTACAAGTGTCATCCGCACTGATGCACAGTCCTGCTCCCTTTTTAGCTTGGAGGAAGCATGAATTTCAAATTTTGATCCATCAGAATGTCTTATCACTTCCCCTCAGTCAATCTTGAGTAGAGATTACAATTGTGAATGCAGTGGTAAACTGTGATCACAGACAACACTCCTCAGAAGTGTGGTTGAAGAGATACTGTTGTTCCCAATCAGCTGTGTCTGTCTCCTATGCACTGCTGTCTGAAGAGCTCACTGATAACAGCTGTTCAACAATGTTTTTGTCTCTTTTCCTTGCTTCCAGAGATTTCTCGTAACTGTCCATTATTTTTAATGGCTTTATGTAACGTAAATAATATATCCTGGTCTTCTTTGCAGCCTTATGGCTCATATTTTCTCAGGCAGTCTTTGTGAGTGGTGAAACGTATTTACTTTTAAAAGACTCCAGAAGCAGCAAATGGTTTGCTCCATCCCCAAACGCCTTTACTATGTTGTGAAGAAAATGCAAGACCGTGTTAAAGTTTTTTGAAATCCTTTTCTGACATCAAATTTCCAAAGCAATACAGTTTTTCTCTATGAATGTGTTGGCTTTGAACTATTTTCAAGCAAATATGGGGTTTCACTGAATTGCAAATGACTGTATTTTGCATCTGGGTTTTAGTTTGCTTCATGGAGTTGCCAAAATGGTTTTAAAAATGTCCAATTAATTTTCTTAATTAGCACCCTGCATGGAGTGTTAACTAAAAAGAGAAAGTTATAGACGGGTTAATTGTTTTAAACTGCGTGTGTTTATAGTTTAACAGGACTAAACGATCTAATTTGAGGATAGAAGCATTCAGAGAGCCTATGGTACAACTTCGTCCATTGGCCTGTCACTTTGTCCTCTGACCAGCTCGTTTCACACGGACGGGCGCACACACTCACCCGTACGCACACACGGAGCACACATCTGCAGCAGCAGCAACAGCATCGGGGTCTGGTGGATGAACGAGGCGAGTCAGCAACACCCAGATGCGCACCTGTAGGTTAAAAAAGCAGCTTTCCGCTGAGAGCTCCCGCAGATTGATTTCTTTATTTTACTTTCCCCGTGCAGCCAAGTTCGTCTCAAGGTTGAGGACACAGTTCAGGATGGCCGCAGCTTCGACAGATTCGGGGCAGGGCTCCACTAAAATAACTCCTGAAGTGCTGCAGGAGATGCTCCAGTACTACAACCTGAGCCGTCGGGACTTTATCAACGCCTACAACATCCAGCCGCTCGTCTACATCCCCGAGTTACCGTACAGCGCCAAAAGCACCTTCGTGATCATGTATGTGGTTATTTTCGTCCTGGCTCTGGCTGGAAATAGTTTGGTCATCTATATAATTGTGAAGAAACGGACGATACAGACGGCGACAGATATTTTTATTTGCTCTCTGGCGGTCAGCGACCTGCTCATCACTTTCTTCTGCATACCGTTTACTTTGCTGCAGAACATATCCTCTGAATGGTTCGGCGGTGAGTTATGAACTTATATCAAGCCGCCAACTTTTTTTTTATAGTACCTCAGGCACGAGGATCGTTTTCTCGATAAGAATAAGATTTAAATATTAAATCGCGAGACTGCTGCTGTGAGGGATACAATGTGTCATTAGGTTACACCTCGGATTATCCATGACTTTAACTAAGCGCACAAGCTGAATAATAATGATACACGCTGCACCTCAGAAAGATGTCCCTTTCTTACAATAAGCCACAGTACAGCTTCAAAAATGCAATGAATGAAATCTAGTACAGCAGCACATTAAAAAAAGAAATGTGCACATTTCAGGCACCAGAGAGAGTCAGAACAGGGTGGGGAAAACATCCTCGGAGGAATGAACTTTTAAAGAGATTCTTGGAACCCCACCATGAGCTAATGCCTTTAAATGACAGCTAAAGACCTCCTGTCTCTTAAAGGCTAAAAAAAACCCCAGATGGTTATGAGTCAGAAACCTGAAGGGAGTCACAGCGGGAGGCAAGTGAAGCACCGCTGGCTCCAGACTGCCAGTTGATCATATTTAGTCCCCCAAACCATGCACTGAAGTATTTGTGGATAAGTGGCTGTCGATGTGGACATTTAAATAATTAAATTAACACACTTACATTGTATAATGTTTTATTCTAAAATTACAGATTGTTTTCTTGATATGTCCACTTCTTTTACAGCATAGATAATGAAAGCTCATGCTCATATCAACATTTATTTAATGCAATGGATACTGAATGTAATGAATACTGGATAATGGATATAACTAGAACAATTTGTTGTTGTTGTTTTTTTATTTTTAAAAGTGGTGATTCCATTTGCAGAGTCTTTAAAGTGCTGTCTCCTCACAGTGTGATAGGGTGATTTCAATGTCTTATAGTATCTTAAGGCTTGTACATAACTGTATTAACTTTCAGTGATATGAAGCATTAAATCTACAACCTCTAAAAACACTGTATGAATCATTATCTCTTGGGCTCGATGTTAAAAATCAGCATGTGGTTACTAAGTGGGAGCTGTTATATTAAACAGTTTTTAACACTGACCTGCAGAAATATTGGTAAAAGCTGACAAACAACCTATCATAGCAAGAACATAGCCAGGTCTGAGCTTGTCATTTTAATAAATAGTCGTCATAATTTGCAAAATGTTTCTTCTGCATGCTGCATTATATTCATTATTATATTTTTATTTATTTTTTACTTGCAGGGGTTCTGGTTTGCAAGACTGTTCCGTTTATACAGACTACAGCCATAGTGACAGGCATCCTAACAATGACCTGCATTGCCATTGAGAGATACCAGGGCATTGTATTCCCACTGAAAATGAGGAGGCAGTATTCGTCCAGAAGAGCATACAAGATGCTAGGTATTGATTGTTTACCAGAGTGACATGTTGTACTTATACATCCTCTGTTATGTGAGAAAGCTCAGAATTCTGCATGCCAAATTGACAAGACACTTATCAGAGATTCAAATAAAGCAAGTGTTACTCTCTCGAGCAAACATGCGTGTGAAATCTTTAGTTCCACTCACTCTCAGTTGTAAATGGAGTTAGAGTAACCAAACAGTTAGCCTGCTCCCTGATGCACTGTTGAGTTGATGGGTTTTGCACATCAGTTCCTCAGCATGTTTTTACAGTGGTTACTCATCACCTTCAGCTAGTTTAAGCTGCCAAGAGCACAAAGAATCTTTACAATTTAATCAGAGAAAATGACCATGCAAATGTCTCTGCACACCACCTGTGCGTATTTGAGTGAGGAATTTGTTGACGCCTTAAGCAAATGAACTGGGGGGGGCGGGGGGGCTACAAAAATAGTTATATAAATGGAAAGTAGTGGACAGAGTAAATTTGAGTGTGAATGCAAAAGTGAGTATGAACTAAGAGTATAACTTGTACTGGAATGATGGGAAAATCAAAGTATGAAAGAAGGAAATGAACTGCTTTAAGTATAGCACATTGCATAGGGTGCCAGGTCACTGGTGTTTAGTGATGATGTGATTGCTGATAGAAGTATCAGGATGAATTCTGAAGTGCACGGGCTGTACTCTCTTCTCAGATTCAGCCAGATGCTGAAAAATTGATCAAACAGCACTTTGTAGCGCAAATGAATAATGATCCAAAGTACACTGCAAAAGCAACCCAAGAGCTTATGAAGGCAGAAAATGGGATATTCTTCAATTGGCAGGGGGCTCACCTTATCTCAACTCAACAGGACATTGCGTTTAGTTACTTTAGACAAAACTAAAGGCAGAAAGAAGCACAAACAACTGCAGCAACTGAAGATGGCTGCAGCAAAGTCCCAACAGAGCATCTTAAGGAAGGAAATGTAGAATTTGGTGATGTCCATGGGTTCTAGATCTCTGGCAGTCATTGACTGTAAAGAGTTTTCATCCAAGTATTAAAAAATAATCCTTATATCTAAAAATGGGTACCCCGTGGGACAGGGTATAAAAATATCTGTAATTCAACAACAGTTAATACAAATCCTTCCTTAAACCTGTTGAGTTAAACCTGAAAGTATGTACACCAATCACATCCTGACTGTTTAATTTAAATCCACTGTGGAGGTTTACAAAGGCAAAATTACAAAGGCCTCCACAGCAGAATGCTTTCACTGATTTTTAGGTTTATTGCTGTAAAACGTATATTATTAGCATAGTTTCTAGGGGAAATAAATTCCCACAAGTCTTCCGTGTTGAAGGTTAAGTATTGCCTGCCATTGTTGTGTTCCTAATTGGTTATTCTAAATTGCTCACAGGTCTGTAAGTGGGGTTAAGTAACAACCCCCCACCCACACACCCTCTTTAAGAAATACTCCTTTTAAATTTAAACCATGTCTAAAAAAGTCAATACATCATGCCATACAATGTCTGGTGTTATGGGTTGGACTTTGCATTATTGGAATAAAGAAGAAAGGAAAATGCAGGTATCTCGCAGAGAGTCCACATGATTGACAGATTATGAATTACGTAAGAGAGGTATTTAATTGTAGGGCTGCTGCGACTGCTGTTTGTCACTAAAAAGTTGCTCTCTTTGAAATACCTTAGCAGACACAGTATTAAAGTTATAGGTTTTCTATTTGATGGTATTAAATACTTGTTTGTTTCTTGCAGGACTTGTATGGATTGCCTCAGTGATAGTGGGCTCACCAATGCTGTTTGTGCAACAGTTAAAGGTAAGTGCCCTTCAAAAAACACATACGATTGCCTTTTTTAGCTTGAAGAAGGTTTACATTCCTGGTAATCCCTCTGAACACAACAGATGAAAAGACATGTTGGCTTTATCTTAATTTTCCACCTGAATCAGGCTCTAAATTCACTCACAGCAGAGCCATAAATGTTGTGAATAGATGCTTTTTAATTGAGATTTAATTAAAATTTTAAACTACCCTAATTTTAATCTTGTGTTTGGGGTTTGGTTTTATTAAAGCTGTAAAAGTAATTATTTTTAGTTGGTGGGATGGCATAACATAATTATACCATATGTTATGTCCTCTCAGGGAAGCCTACTACTATCAGATGGCCTCCTTGGCACACCAAACCTGTCAGAAAAAAAATATGCATCAGTGTGAATCAAATGTAGCAAAGCATTGGATAAAAACCACCCTGTCAGTCAGACCTACTTCAGCTGTCTTGACCGTTCTTCCATGACTAAAAGCTTTTCTTTTTCCATATCTCAGGTGAAGTACGACTTCTTGTACGATCACTACCACGTGTGTTGTCAGGAGAGCTGGAGCTCGGTGACTCACAGGCAGGCGTACACCACCTTCATCATGGTGGCCCTTTTCCTGCTCCCCTTGGCAGCCATGCTATTCCTCTACACATGCATTGGCATAGAGTTGTGGATCCGCAAGAGGGTGGGTGATGCCTCAGTCCTCAGCACCATGAACCACAGGGAGATCAGTAAGATATCAAGGTGGGTTAGACGGAAGTCTGATGGAGATATTTAACCGCCATATTTATTTGTAGATGACATTTCGTTTCAGTTTAGCCTTGTTTGCATTCCAATTAACAGAACTGAACTGTCAATAGTTGAGGGTGGAAGGTCAAGAGTGGGGTCACTGTTGTTGCATTATTGCCCTTGCTGCATGGTCTAATCCTCTTTACAAAAAGAAATGAACCTGCTCTTCAAAAATAAATAAATAAATAAATTAAACTTTTATTTTATTTTATTTTTTTGGTTAAATCAACAGTTAAGCAAAAAAGAAGAAGAAAAAGAACACCTGTATTTAAAAAAATTAGGTGACATCTACTTTCATGCCACGTTAGTTGTTAATTTTACGCTATTAATATCAGTGCAAGACTTAGATTTAAGGGAAGGACAGAACATTATCTTTACTGACTGAAACTAACATTAACAGGTGGTTTGCAAAAAGATGCAACACCTGCTCTCCGCTGTACTCCACTCTACTCTCCTGGACATAAACTATTAGTCATTTGAGCAATGTTGTTGCTCTTGCGGAGAGAACATGTGAAAGGCAGAGACTGAAATGGGTATATGTTTATACATTTAGGGCCAGGAGAATCGTTAGGGCACTGCGCTTAAG